TCAGGAACCTGGCAACCACCGGCAGCAATAATTGCCAGAGTCAGAGGCGCAGTCTGTTTATATCCAACTAATGCAGAAAAACCCATTTGGGTACCGGAACACCTGGTCAGGCCTATACATGAGCCCCCCAATCATTTGTCCCCCACAGCTGGGAACAATAATGAAACTCACCTCCAGGGTACTTAGCCCTGAGACGAACCTCTCTTTTTCTTCCACAGGAATAAAATGACCATACCGACGCTTGTCACCTGGACCCTCATTATATTATTAATGAAGGACCCTACCGAAACCCATGCCAATCGACACCAACCATTCAAGCAGACCTGGGTCATAAGAAGTGGAGAGGACTACGAGGTTTGGAGTACCACAAGCTGTGATGCAGCACCCCTTAATCAGTGCTTCCCCGACCTATATTTTTCCCTGGAAGACGCCTACCCATTTCAGGATGGTCTTGAAAGGCCTGGGGCCAGAGCCTCTATGAGACGCAACGGCTTTTTTACCTGCCCGGGTTCCGGACAGGCCAATGGAGGAAAACCTGCGGTGGCCTTGAACCTTACTACTGTGCCAGCTGGTCTTGCATAGATTCTAACAATGGCTATTGGAAATGGTCGGTTGACCACGACCTGGTTAATATTTCTTATGCTGTGCCACTGAGATATGGCTCATATTCTGTACAATACCACCCCCCACAATACCACCCCCGAAAGCTTCTGGTCAAAATCTTCTCCACTGATAAGGGAAGGTCGGAGACCCGATGGGTCAACGGCCTGAACTGGGGACTTATGTGGTATAGCAGGCCATGGCATGGGGTTATCCTGCCGATCCTCTTAAAAATCGAACCCGTGCAGCAGATTCCGCTAGGCCCTAACCAGGCACTTGAGGCTCCAAACCCCCCTCTTAAGCCCACCATCACTACCACAGCTGGCCCCTAAGGCTGTTACAGACAGCCCATCCATCCCAAAACCCAGTCTTGGCCCAATCATTAACCCCTCAGGAGTCTTATCGAAGCCACATATCAGACTCTGAATGCTACTGCCCCAAACCTGACTGAAGCCTGCTGGCTGTGCTATAATCTCACCCCACCATTTTATGAGGCTATGGGTATTAATGCCTCATACAATGTTAATTACAGAGCCCCTGGGGAGTGAAAGGTCTGCCCCCAGGGATTGACCATGACCCAAATTAGCGGCCAAGGGACATGTGTCGGTACAGTCCCTCAAAACAAGAAGGAGTTGTGTGCACAGAATGTGGAGTCCCCGGGATGGAGTAACTCCGCCTGGATCTCACCAACAATTGGAGCTTGGTGGGCCTGTTCACATTCAGGATTAACTCCCCACTTGGCAGGCTCAGTATTTAATGCCTCCCAAGAATTCTGTCTTATGGTTATTGTTATCCCAAAAATTATATACCACCCTGCTGAGGTACTCCTTGATTACTGGTCCAATTCCCCTCATGTCCTGCGTAGGAACCGCAGGGAACCCCTATCCGCATTAACCATCGCCACTCTGTTTGGCATAGGCCTGGCAGGTGCCGGCACTGGCATCGCCGCTCTGGCAACCCAACATTCTGGCCTATCTTCTCTAAGAACAGCCATTGATGAGGACCTGGACCGAATAGAAAAATCTATTAGCCATCTTGAAAAGTCCTTGACCTCCCTGTCGGAAGTAGTCTTGCAAAATAGGAGGGGGCTTGACTTGCTCTTCCTTAAAAACGGAGGGCTGTGCACAGCGCTGGGAGAAGAGTGCTGGTTACGCCAACCACACTGGGTTAGTCCGAGATTCCATGGCTAAGCTGAGAGAAGGCCTGGAACGGCGTAAAAAGGAGAGAGAAGCTCGGAAGGGTGGTTTGAGTCTTGGTTTAATCAATCCCCCTGGTTCACCATCCTGATATCTACTATAGCAGGCCCTCTGATCATACTATTACTGATGCTTACATTCTGTTACATACTGTTCCTGCGCCTGGCTGTTCCTCGCCGGGGTCCCTTGGAGGGGAGCGGGTTGAGCTTTCCTCCCCGCCCCGACCAGGGCTCCAGCAGCGGAATACCTCCAGGACCAGCCACCACCATGCCGAGATCACTCTCCGCACACATGAAGGTACTGGCAGAGGGACAAAGCCACGCGGGTTCCGGGGCCGAGATCTCCAAGCCTACTCAGATTGGAGTTGAGCATCCTCCACCCAGATCCTCCAAATTCCAGTAGGCGGGGGTCACACCCACCACCTGGCCCCCTGGCGCCGTGTAATCCCATCAGCGGCCAAGACTCAGAGACTATAAAATCCAGCTCCCGGAACCGCTCAGCCGCATTTGCGGCCGGGCTACATCTTATCAGGACATCTTTTTATGACATCTTATTATCTCATTCCTACTTTGGACAAACTTGCAGGCAGGGCAGAGTCTGGAAAACTCCCCGTGGCGTACCAAATATGCCAAATACCAGTAAGAATGATGGGTCTCATTCTCCTAAAGAGCCTTGAATATAATCTCAGGGCTAGGATGAAAGAGACGTTACTGGGGCCTGCTCGAGGCAATCGACATTCGGGCCCTGAATCCTGAGCCGACGTGTCTCATTTGTCAGAGACCAGATTTGCAGGGTTGATCAGCAAATCACTCAAATTCACTTTACGCAGCTGAGAGAAACTAGCAAAGTGCAGCCCTATTCAGAGAGATATTTCTAATGGGCTTGGGAAGTCTCTTCCTTTCTCTGTTGCAGTAACCTCATCTTGTGGCCAGTACCAGAAAATGCAGGAGAAGAAGGAGTACAGACCGGACCCGTAAGAAACCCCGGATCTCTGAACGAAGAGATCCCCATCACCCCTCTACCCTACCCCTGCTCCTCTTTTCTGAGCCATGCTCCATTCTGGTCAAGCCACACTGGGTCCTGCTCGGTCTGGTAGAAATGTCACGAATCCTCCCCTGTGCCTCCTCACGGTTAAGGAAGTATGCCCTTGCCCAGGACACCCAATGACGGGCAACTTCCGTCACCGCCGCGCACACCTAAGACAGGGGCTAAAGCATTCTCCCCAATGACAGGTACCACGGCGGGGCTTCGGACGACCTAAGACAGGGGTCCTGGTGTGCCATAATTGGAAAAAAGGGGTGAGATGTTGCCTACTGACCAAGTAAAAGAATGCTTGATTTTTCATTCCCCCTTTGTCCTGCTCAAAGCTGGGCAACTTGCCAGTACAGGAGGTTTCAGTTTGGGGAAAATGCACCCTCGTAAATGATTTGTAAATGATGTATGAGGAACAGCACAATCTTTGCAGATATGTCAATGCCATATCAAAGCAGATCATTCCGACCAATAGCATTAGGTCGAAAGGGTCACCAGGTGGCTTACCAAAGGTGCATGGCTCTGCTCATTGTCCCATCCACTTTCCCACGTCCCATCCACTTTCCTTTCTTTTGGATGGGCTATGGAAACATACTTAAGTCTGTACCTATGCTCTGAATAAACACACGTATTCATGCCATCTCCTGAATGATGGAACCCTGTGTGACTCGAGTGCTGATTTCACCCTGACGGCCCTCGCCTGGCTCAGACCCGGAGTGCCGGACGCGGCATATGGTCACATTTTTCTGTGCTTTTGGAAACAAGTCGCACATATAGCATGTCTATGTTCAGATCTCCACTATTATCGGCTTGTGTGATTTTTTTTTAATTTGGTTTATGTGCTGGAGCGATAGCACAGGGGTAGGGCATATTGTGTTCTACTTGGCCAACCTGGCCGACCCAAGTTTGATTCCTCCACCCCTCTTGGAGAGCCTGGCAAGTTGCCATGAGTATCTTGCCTGCACGGCAAAGCGTGGTAAGCTCCTTATTAGATACACCAAACACAGTAACAACACAGTAACAAATCTCAGAATGGAGCCCTTCCTGGGCCCACTCAAGAAAATCGATGAACAAAGGGAGAACAGTGCTACAGTGCTATTTGGTTAATGGGGGTGGTAGAACCACACTCAGTGATACTCAGGGACGAGTCCTGGCTCTGTGCTCAGGAGTGACTCCTGCAGAGCTCAAGGCACATTCCGTGTTGCTAGAGGCCAAAGGCTCTGGTTGCTTGCAGGTAAGGCAGGCATCTTATTTCCTGCACTATGTCTCTGGTACCGAGTTTGTAAGATTTTTGCACGGGAAGTCAAGAGTGGGAACGTGCTACTTAGATTGTGTTTGGTCTCTCTGGCTTTAAAGTACTCTTCTTTTGGCTCACAATTTGGGGAGTATTTCACCCCAGGGCCACCAGGAATGAGGCGCTCTTCACCTCCATATCTTAAGCTCATTTGCATTAAACCTGGTAAAGCCCCACCTCTTGGAAACTGCATCTTCTGGCAACCAGAGAACTTACACTTGGCCCAGCCCAGAGACTCAATCAATAATCATGGTATTTTGAAAACAGTTTTCACATCATTCTTCTGCTCTATTTTGCTTCATGTGAACCCACTTGAGAGGGCAGAGTGATGGTACAGCGTGTAGGGCACTTGCCTTGCACAAGGCTGACCTGAGTTTAATCCCTGGCATCCTATCTCAAGCACTATCAGGAGCAATTCCTGAGTCCAGAACTCCAGTAATACCTGAGCATCTCTGTGTATGGCCCCAAATCAAAAGAAAAAAAAAAACATCTTAGTCTCAGAAGGGAGAACTGCTTTTGCTCCAGAAGGATCGATTCTCCTCCTACGTTAATGAAACTTGGATAGACATGAGAATATTATTTCTCTTTTTGCTTGTTTTGACATTTTAGCCGTTATGACCAGCAAAGCTGGCCTGAAGAGTTGATCTCTCAGTCAACAAGGGAGGGTCTCTTGGGAGGGTCTCTAGGGAGGGTCGAGGAGGGTCGAGGAGGGTCGAGGAGGGTCAGGGAGGGTCAGGGTGGGTCTCCTCCCAGTGTACATAAAAGGCAGGACTCCTCCGACCCTTACGTGGTATCTGCCAGTGACCCTGAGAAGAGGTTGCAGTGCAGGACTCCATCAGACTTCCAGATTCTTCTGCGACACATCCATTCCTGGGACCATGGACCACTCGCACCATCACTCCGGGATGAGCGACATGGGCCACCCCAGTGACCCGGCCCCTCCACCCCAGCCTCCGGCCACCACGGGGCCCCACTCCCATGGGGGCAGCACACACACGATGCCCATGACCTTCTATTTCGGCTACAGGAACATGGAGCTGCTGTTCTCGTGGTTGGTGATCGACTCGGCTGCAGCCATGGCCGTGGCTGTCGTGATCGTGTTTCTGCTGGCCCTGGGCTACGAGGGACTCAAGGGAGTCCGCAAGGGACTCCAGCGCAAGGCTCAAGAGAGGCTCCGTGCCCAGTGCTCCACTTTCCTCAGACCTGACGGAACCGCCCGAAGGAGACATCCTGGCCGCAGCTGCTGAGTGCCATTCACCTCCGGAAGACGGTGCTGCACATGCTCCAGGTGGGCGTGAGCTACCTGCTGATGCTGACCGCCATGACCTACAACGCCTACTTCGGCTTGGCCTTGCTGGCAGGGGCTGGCATCGGCTACTGGCTCTTTGGCGGGAGGAAGGCCGAGGACATGGAGTCCAAGACCCATGACGTGAACAAGGTCGAGCTCCATGAGATTGGCAGCGGAAACTCTCCTGGCCTGCAGGAATGAGCACTCACCTCCTGTCTCTCCTGAGCCCTCTGGATCTCAGCGGTTGAGTTTGACTGTGCTCAAGAGGCGACTGCTCCTGGACACTGTTTCCGGTGAGTGGAAACACTCACAGGAGATGCAGCCCCTGGACGCCCAACATCCTGGTCCACGGTCTCTTTCTTTTGTAATGCACGGACTCCATCCCTGGCTCCCCGGGGTTTATGCCTTCATTTATGTATTGTTCTTATGATGGTTTCTTTTTTTTCCCTTTAGTCATGAAAATTGTTGCCCACTGAACCAAGAACCCAAACTTCACAATAAAACACTTGATCTTTTGGGCTCAATGAGTGGGAACTCTCTAGAACGTGTTCTTGTGTGTGATAATCTGGCCAGGAATTTCTAGTATGCACACAGGGTGGGGTGTGAAGATCAGGAGGAGTGGCGCTGCCCATGCATGTGTGTTCTGGGGAGGTTGGCTCTTTCACGGGGTTCCTGTTGCTCTTTTGGTTGCAATAATATTGTCAATTTGGGAAGATTCTCGTTTGGCCAGAGAGAACATAAGGGGTCGGTTGCGTGCAGTTAGCAGTGTTCAGTCCTGTTCTCCCAGGCTGTTGGACCCTCTTGGTACTGGTCCATACCAGATGGGGCGTATTTAGAAATCTTATGTAGCACCAGGGAGCATAAATACCAGGGTTGTCAGATTCTGCTCTTGGCATATGGGACATGGAGGATAAGAACTCACGATCCAACTGGTGCAAGGCAGGGTGGGTTGGGGGGTTGGGGGTGGGTGGGATACTGAGATCCATGGTGGTGGAAAATGGGCACTGGTGGAGGGATGGGTACTTGATCATTGTATAATCAAAACCCAAGCACAAAAATTTGTAAATCTACAACTGTACCTCATGGTATTTCACTAATAAAAAAATCTTTAAATAAAAAATAAAATAATAAAAAAGGTGCTGCTCCTCCAGGCCAACACTGACCAATCTCTCTCAAAGGCCCAACCCTAAAACCATCAGAGCCAGAGTTGGATTCGCACATCAACTTTCTTTGGCAAAAACCATTCAGTCACCAGCAATCGTTTCAGATTCATTTTGATTCAACTGGATATCAAGCTCAACAAGAGCCTTGTGCATTGAATTTCGATACGTGGATCACTTTGAAGCAGACAGGTTTTTCCATTTCTATTCCTCATTTATTTTGAGGGTCTGGGGATTACTCGACGGGACTGGAGCCAGCAGAGCAGGGCCAGGCTGTGTCTAGTGGGCCATGGAAGGGACAGAGCCCCGGCCCCAAGAACAGCAGCGAGACACGAGCCCTCGTAATACCCTCCCCAGCCTCAATCAGCATTATCTATACATGTGGTGTTAGAAATTGCCTTTTCTTTTTTTATTTGTTGTTTAACAGTGGGTTGTTTACTCTACTTGGCTTCTTAGTCATGGTTTGTTTGGGGGCTACATGTTGGGATGCTCTGGGGAAAATCCTGGCTCAAGACTCAGGGCTTGCCCCTAATGTTCAGGAACCCTGCATAATTACTATCTTTGCTGCTATTCTCTAGTTTAAATATTGTCATAATTTTCCTTAGATATTTTTGGACAGAAATGTGATAGTTGCTTCAAGAACCTTGTTTTCTAAATCCTCCATCTCAGATCATTTATAATAACTATATCCCAAGTGTATGGTCACATTTTGGTACCATACTAGTTCTTTTGTAAACTAGTGACACATATAGTATTTCTATGTTCAGATCTCCACTATTATCGGCTTGTATGATTTTGGGGGGGTGTTTCTGGGGGTGGTAGAACCACATTTAGTGATAATAAGGAACGAGCCCAGATTCTGTGCTCAGGAGTGACTCCTGCAGAGCTCAAGGCACATTCCGTGTTGCTAGAGGCCAAAGGCTCTGGTTGTTTGCAAGTAAGGTAGGCACCTTATTTCCTGCACTATGTCTCTGGTCCCGAGTTTGTAGGAGTTATGCGCGGGCAGTCAAGTGTAGTAACATGCTGCCTCGGTTGTGCATGGTCTCTCTCTGGCTCCAATGTACTGGGCTTATGTGCCTCAATTCTCTGTCCAGTGGCCCACAATTTGGGGAGTATTTCACCCCACAGCACCTGGAATGAGGCGCTCTTCACCCCCAGGTATTAAGCTCATCTGCACTAAACCTGGTAAAGCCCCACCTCTTGGAAACTGCATCTTCTGGCAATCAGAGAACTTACACTTGGCCCAGCCCAGAGACTCAATCAGAATAATCATGGTATTTTGAAGTCAGCTTTCACATCATTCTTGGGCTTTATTTTGCTTCATGTGAACCCACTTGAGAGGACATAGCGATGGTACATTGGGTAGGGCACTTGCCTTGCACACGGCTGACCTGGGTTCAATCCCTGGCATCCTATCTCAAGCACTGTCAGGAGGAATTCATGAGTGCAGAAGCCCAGGGAACCCTGAGCATCTCTGGGTGTGGCCCCAAACCAAAAGAAAAAAAATCACATTTTAGACTCAGAATGGAGAACTGCTTTTCCTCTAGAAGGACCGATTCTCCCCAACGTTAATGAAACCCGGATAGAGCTGAGGATATTATTTCTCTTTTTGCTTGTTTTGAGATTTTAGCCATTGTGACCAGCAAAGCTGGTGTGAAGAGTTGATCTCTCAGTCAACTAGGGAGAGTCTCTTGGGAGGGTCTCTAGGGAGGGTCGAGGAGGTTCGGGGAGTATCAGGGTGGGTCTCCTCCCAGTGAACATAAGAGGCAGGACTCCTTCAAGCCTTACGTGGTATCTGCCAGAGACCCTGAGAAGAAGCTGCAGTGCAGGACTCCATCAGACTTCCAGAATCTTCTACGACACATCCATTCCTGGGACCATGGACCACTCGCACCATCACTCTGGGATGAGCGCCATGGGCCACACCAGTGCCCCGGACACTCCTCACCACCGTCCGGCCACCACGGGGCCCCACTCCCACGGGGGCAGTGTGCAAACGATGCCCATGACTTTCTACTTTGGCTACAGGAACGTGGAGCTGCTGTTCTCGGGGCTGCTGATCAAATCGGCTGGGGCAATGGCCGTGGCTGTCGTGGCCGTGTTTCTGCTGGCTCTGGGCTACGAGGGACTCAAGAGAGTCCGCGAGGGGCTCCAGCGCAAGACCCAGGAGGACCTCCGTGCCATGTGCTCCCCTTTCCCCAGACCTGACAGAAGCCACCTCAAGGAGACGCCCCGGCTGCAGCTGCTGAGCGCGACTCACCTCCTGCAGACGACGCTGCATGTGCTCCAGGTGGGCCTGAGCTACCTGCTGATGCTGACCGCCATGACCTACAACGCCTACCTCGGCCTGGCGGTGGTGGCGGGGGCCAGCGCTGGCTACTGGCTCTTTGGTGTGAGGAAGGCAGAGGACGTGGAGTCCCAGACCCAAGACGTGAACAAGGTCGAGCTCCATGAGATTGGCAGCGGAAACCCTCCTGGCCTGCAGGAATGAGCCCTCACCTCATGTCCCTCCTGAGCCCTCTGGATTGCAGCAGTTTTGAGTTTGACTGTGCTCAAGAGGCGACTGCTCCTGGACACTGTTTCCTGTAAGTGGAAACACTCACAGGAGATGAAGCCCCTGGACGCCCAACATCCTGGTCCACGTTCTGTGTCTTGTGTAATGCACGGACTCCATCCCTGGCTCCCAGGGTTTATGCTTTCGTTTATGTATTGTGCTTATCATGGATTCTTTTTTTCCTTTAGTCATGAAAATTGTTGCCCAGTGAACCCAGAAGCCAAACTTCACAATAAAACGCTTGATCTTTTGGGCTCAATGAGTGGGAACTCTCTACAGCATGTTCTTGTGTGTGATAATCTTGCCAGGAATTTCTAGCATGCACACACGGTGGGGTGTGAAGATCAGGAGGAGTGGCGCTGCCCATGGATGTGTGCTCTGGGGGAGGTTGGCTGTTTCACGGGGTTCCTGCTGCTCTTTGGGTTTAATCACTTAATCACTTAATCACTTAACTTCCCGTTAGTCGTCGATTTGCTCGAGCGGGCGCCAGTAACGTCTCCATTTGTCCCTGTCGCGTGCTAGTGTAGCCCAATGGCATCTGTTCGCTCCGGGAACATGAAGGGCCTCAAACCGAACGTTCATGATCTTGACGAAGAAGTCTGACCATCTGGTAGGTGGGCGGCCACGCGGTCTCTTGACATCCCGTGGAATCCAATCAGTAACAGCTCTAGCCCAACGGTCGTCTTTAAATCTCATTACGTGACCAGCCCATCTGATTTTCGACACCTTGGCAAATGAGACAGCGTCCCTGATCCTTGATCGTCGACGGATGTCAGAACTCCGGATTCGTTCTCTCATTTGAGTGAAACGTGATATTCCAAGCATAGCTCTTTCTATTCTTCTTTGGGAGACCTGAATGGCGTTCTCATCTTGTTTGCGTAGGGCCCAGGTCTCTGAGGCATACGTTAATGCAGGAAGAACAGTGGAATCAAAGAGATGTGCCTGGAGCCGGAGGTTCTTCATCCTCTTAGCTATTTCTTCGACGTTCTTGAAGGCGTTCCAAGCCGCTCTCTTCCTCCTGCGCAGCTCGGGTGCCAGGTCATTTCTCATGTTGACCTCTCGACCTAGGTACACATAGCTGTTGCATTCGGAGATGGTCGTTCCATTGAGAGCGAATGGGGCGTCAGGAACAAGGCTGTTTCTCATAAACATTGTCTTCGTAAGATTTAGCTGTAGTCCTACCTTTCCACACTCACGGTCAAAGTCAGCCAGCATTTGTGCCACTTGGCTGATGTTTGGTGCTATTAAAACAATATCATCAGCAAAGCGGAGGTGGTGTCATTGCCGACCATCTATCTTCACTCCCATTCCTTCCCATTCCAGTCGCCGCATGATGTTCTCGAGGGTGGCACTGAAGAGTTTCGGTGAAATGGTATCACCCTGCCGAACCCCTCTCTTGACATCAACGATCACTTCTTTGTAGAATGGTGAGATCCTGGTAGTGAATCCGCAATAGAGCTCACGGAGGATCCTGATGTATTGGGCTT